TGACTCACTTACCATCTGAGCTCCACATTACATTTCAGCTTTTTATTTCAAGTATTTGACGAATGCTTGAAATGAATTCAATCAATGAAACTTGTATTCAAATTCTTATTACCGCCAACATATGATAGGTGTTAGCTTAGATAATATACAGAGTTAAATGGAAGATTTGTAGGATTCATAACATATTTAAACGTTTATTGAAATTGGAATGAAATCAGTTAACCCTAAAAATATCATCAACAAACAAGCTTAGATTATTTAACAACACAATCATATCTAATATAACAATCTGTTGTAAATAATAAGCTATTTATTTCATTATAATACTATACTTCAACCATTATCAACATAATGTTGAGTTACTTAGACTGATTGGTAACTATATTGCGATTTGATCAATAGGATTTGATCTATACTAAGAAGGATCTGATATATATGATATAGTTCACCATCAAATGATCAATCAATTGTATACTATAACCTTCTATTATTTATACATTATAATCTTCACCTTGAATTGAAGATAATGGGATACGCCTAGTTTATTTAGACTAAAAAAAACAAAGGGAAAGTAGAACATTGTTATTTGCATCAGTTAAAATCAAATCAATATGAAGATGGTAAATGATAAAGTGATTTATAGAAATGCATAATTGATCTATGTAGAATAGAGATAGTTCAAAGGAAATGTAAGAGAACTGTTTATTGAAAACTTGGATACTAATTCAATAAAATTGATATTCTGATATTTACTTATTTTTGTCTTATTTACTTATGCCTGTTAGCTTTAATGGAGCATAGACCGCCGACAAGCATTCTTCAACCTACTCTATTTATTTATTTATTTATTTTAACACATAAGTATAGGTACAGGGAGGCATCAAATACATATGCGCCACACAAATCTCATTTGATTTGTGTGAGGGCTGTGATACTGCCCGGGTGCCCAAACCGAAGCAGGTGGTTTTCTTAGGGGGCCACACTCCGAGCCTTCGACCTGGACGTCTGGCCCACAAGGCAGTGGAGCATCGTGAGGAGATGCAGTCCCATGGTAGCCGGTGACCAACGATTGGTTCATATGCCATTTGTTCCTTCAGGATACTGGAGCCCATGTGCACCACTGATTTGATTTGGGGTCCGGTTAAAGCGCCGGACATTCGCTTTTCGTCCTCTCATTTTCGTAAACAATAGTAATCCCACGAGAAGGCAGTGAGTAGGACTTCCCTGGCAGAGGCTATATACGCATGGCCATGTGAGAGCATTTGGAGAGGGAGAGCGGACTCTCCCCACTCTCGGCCGTACCAGGGCATTTGGGGGCCAACCTACTCTATCCTGGGCTTTCTTTTCTAGTTCCATTTAATTCTTGTTCATTTTATCTCATGTTTATCTCTATTTCTCGAAGTGATGTGTTCTTTGGTTTTACTCTTTTCCTTTAACCTTTTTTTGTCAATATATAGTTATTTTTAACAAAACATATATAGATGTATATCAAGAATGGAGGGAATGTGATTAGTAGTAGGATCTACAATGTGTATTCCATCCTGCTTAGAACTTATCATTACATCTTAGAATGGATGTGAACTCTGGAACTTCAATTTAGTACCCATCGCTTTAAACTCCATTATGTTATCCACTTAGCGACTGGGTTCAGATAGCTACTCAAATGTGCTAATTCATCTATAAACTTTCGGTTTTTTAGTTTTATTTGTCTCTAAGCTATGTCCGAAGATGCTAAACTTCATGAAATAATAAACGGTATATACAAGTATAAGCATCAAAGTGGGAGTATGGAAACTTGAAATAATTCTTATCATTTATTGATTAAGGCCTACAAGTGATCTTTTGAAATATGTTTTTATGTCTCAACAAACTGCTCTATGTCAGTTAGTTAAAATCATAGAGCCTGGGGCAAATATGATTTGAACCAAGTTCTCATATAAAAATATTTGAAAAAACCAACCCCAAAAAATGATTACCAGGTTGAGAGATTATTGACTTTGAGAAGGATTGTGTGCATACATTAATGAAGAGCCATTATCATGTTACGATTTAACACTTTTCAATTGCTCCATCGTTTTCAGTAGTTATCTACATAAACTCAAGTTGTACAGTATATTAACTCCTGATTGAAAAATCTCCACATACCACTTAAAATATTTATAATCATTCTGTTGACAGTGGTGACTAAATTCATTTGGAACTTAAAAAGTACCTGAAAACGTAATTGGTTTAGAGGTGGTCTTAGTGACCTAAGAGCGTGGCCGCAGTGCCCAGAGGACAACAACATGAGGTCAGTCACACACAACCATTGTGTGTGTGACTTTCGTGTTAGCTTCCTACTTGTTGAGACCTTACCGCCGGAGATGGATATCCGTGGGATAACGCGAGATGTGCATTTTTAGGGTCGACCTTTTCTAACCCCACACCTCCTTGTGTGAAGGCAGCATCGCTGTAATGTTGGTTGTCTGAAAAAAACACCTTACTGCTGTCACACCTTTGTACTATCAGCAGTACGACTTCGCCTTCGGACCTTGGATTTGTTGCTTTTAGTTTTACCGCTCTTCAACCGACCTGTCTGGTATTGTAGGACGTTGAGAAACGATTGTTCCAGCCAGTAGAGCTTGATTAGTTCATCACGATGGGCATGTCCGACCACCACATCAGGGTAGCAACAATGGTCGGGGTTTAAGTGAGTTGCTATAATCGATGAATTCCCATCTGGTCAGAAGAGAGATAGTTATCATTCATAACATTATAAATGATGATGATGCTGTGATAATGTCGACACATCGAAATAAAAAAGGTTTATCCAATATATAAGTTTCATTAATACCTATCCATCAATAAACAGTACGCAAAAACGAATGCTGGAGACGATCAATGTAGCAAAAAACTCAGAAGAACTAAGTCTGAAATTAAAAAAAGCAAAAGCAAGATTCTCAAATACAACACAACATGCAACAATCGAATCACACTTGACGGAGAAGCTTCGGAAGATGTAAAAACATTTACATATTTGGGCAGCATCATTGATGAACATGGTGGATCTGATGTAGATGTGAGGGCGCAGATCGGAGAAGTAAGAGCAGCATATTTACAAATGAAGAACATCTGGAACTCAAAGCAACACAACTCAACCAACACCAAAGTCAGCATCTTTTATAGAAATGTCAAGGCAGTTCTACTGTATGGGGCGGAAACTTGGAGAACTACGAAAACCATCATCCAGAAGATACAAGTGTTTATTAACAATTGTCTACGCAAAGTACTTCGGATCCGTTCATCAAACACTATCAGCAACAACCTACTGTGGGAGAGAACAAAGCAGATTGCAGCGGAGGAAGAAATCAGGAAGAAGTGCTGTAAGTGGATAGGACACACATAGAGAAAAACACTGAACTACGTCACATGGCAAACCCTCACTTGGAATACTCAAGACCAAAATAGAAGTAGAAGACCAAAGAATATATTACACTGAGAAATGGACAAAGAGATATGAGAAGAATGAATACAAATTGAATAGAACTAGAAAGGAAGGTTCAGGACAGATTACATTCTAGAATACTAGACGACAGCCTATTCTTCATGAGGATTAATAAGCATAAATTATATAATATATAGTATATATATATATTTATAGAATAGTAAATGTAATATTAATAGTTTGTATGAAAATGAATGAAATGATTTATCAATAACATTTCATGGAAAACAAAACAAAACAAAAAACAAACGAATATCATTTTTGTTTTTCTTTCTTTCTTTCTTTTTTTTTTTAAATAAGAAACAATAAACGAGTTCAATGTTTGAATTGAAACGAGGAAAACGCAGGATTAACACACTTCAAATATACACATAGTGAATAATTACGTTTAATTTTAATGAGAGATAATGTAAATTTTCTATTGTTTTTTGTTTTTGTTTTTGTTTTTTTTCTCTCTCTCACTCTCTCTCACTGTTCCCAAGGTAGCAAGTAGTTACTAATTGACATCTGTAAAGGAATATATAGATGTGTTTCATTCAATATTGAAATCGGCAGAACTGTACTGAGTTTCAACTATTATTATTATTATTATTATTATTATTATTATTATTATTATTATTAGTAGTAGTAGTAGTAGTAGTAGTAGTAGTAGTTTGAGTAGTAGTAGTAGTAATCGTATTAGTAATAGTAGTAGCAGTAGTAGTAATAATAATAATAATAATAATAAATTGAAAACTATGAATAATAATGTACAATTTGAATGACTTGTTTTTGTTTAGTTGATATAAATTGAAAACAAAAAAATTTTTCTGGCGGTCAATTCGAATCATAGAATAATAAATGAATAATGATGATGATGATGATGATGATGATGGAATATGATATACAGAAACAAAGAAAAACAAATGCATAGATCATGCAACCAATAACCCATTAACTTAATACATACAAATATAGATATATCTATATCTATATCAAGTACATGTAATGTAATGATGTGAATAAGAAGGAATGAATACTGAAGTGTATGAATGTGTAAAATCTGAATGACTATTCTCTTTTCTTTTAAATATTTTTTTCTTAAATGATATTGATGACTCGTTTTTTCTGTTTTGTTGTTGTTGTTGCCGCTGTCTTAGTCGCCGTCGTGTTCTTCTTTTTTCTATCTTGTTACCCTAATCATAATAAAACTTCATTATCATGAATAAATTCTGAATGGATAAAACAAAATGTCAATCAACAAACAAACAAACAAACAAACGAAAAGAAACAAACAAAGAGAAACATAAAACATAATCACTACATACTGTTATAACTCAATGACATAACAATATGATAATGAAACTTTCTATTACTCAATTTGTTGTTCTATTTCATATGAACATGTGTATGTGTGTATGTGTGGTTATTCTTTATGAATGGATCAAATGAAATAAATGATAATCTCAATAGAACAATAAATCAATAAATCAATAATCAGATCGGATCATTTTATTATTCAATCATATCAATCATATTAATGTCCTGTACTACTGCTTGATAACATTGATGTATTCATAAGATCATGATTATTTGTTCCATTGAAATGATGATTATTAGATCGTTTATTAATTCGATCTTTTTCTGAATCTGGTAAATTTGGTTTATTATATTTTAACCATGGGAGATGTTCATTGAAAATCTTAAAAAAAAAAAAAAAAAGAAAAATAAAAGAAAAGAATTTTAAAGAAATTCATCAAGATAAAATTCAATATTTAAAGAAATAAATGTTTTTTCTCTTTTTTTTCTTCTCTGTTTTTGTTTACATGATCGTTTAAACTACTAATTAAAAGAAAAGTAAATAACTAATATTTTAATATCAGAAAGGATTGTATGGAGATTTTAGAAATTTCACTGGTTGAAATCATGAATCCATTGAAACTAGACCACCATGGAAAACCTGGAAGCACTGACAGCCATTTTGTCCTAGTATGGGACTCCTCAGTAGTGCGCATCCACGATCCCACTGGCAGGATTCTAACCCAGGGCCTTCAGTCTCGCGCGCGAACGCTTAACCAACTCGACTACTGAGCCGACATCCAACGATGATAATGTCTAACCTCAACTAGTGGAGCTAATGCGTGTCGGGTAGAAACAGATGTCTACTTCAGTACAATGGGAGATAGTCGCGCAATTTCGTGGATTGGTTGAAGTCAGATATTAGCACCGTTGGATGCCGGCTCAGTGGTCGAGTAGGTTAAGCGTTCGGGCGCGAGACTGAAGGCCCTGGGTTAGAATCCCGCCAGTGGAATCGTGGATACACACTGCTGAGGAGTCCCACAATAGGACGAAACGGCCTTCCAGTGCTTCCAGATATTCAATGGCGGTCTAATATCAATCAGTTCATGATCTCAATCAAAAACTTGACAATCTCCACAACCTCTAGACTGATAAACCCTTTTATTTTAGCTAAAGTCAGTCAAATACTTATTTTATTGATTCCATCGATTAGGGATAATAGAGACTAGAGTTGATGAGCTTCAACAGATCAACTATTTATTTTAAAAAAGTGCTTAGAGGGAATAAATTTCGGAAACGATACAATGAATCAATTAAAAGTTACCAAATAAGAAGTTCATATTGTATCAAACAAGAATTTCTTAATTGGTAAATGCATGTTATTACAGAAGAAATGATTTCTTTCTTTACACTTAGTAACCGTCAGTTAAGAGTTTGTGTATCGGTAGTTTGTATACCATAGTAACAAAGTTAGAAAACTTTAATATTAAATGTAGTTAGACTTTCCGACAGTGATATAAACATGACGCTATCATCATCAGCATCCCGTTTATCACACTTAACATATACTTGTTGAACTTTATAAGTCATAGCTTTTCACTTTGAAATTATTCATTGAAACAAAACAAAACAAAACAAAAAAAGGGAGAAAAATAAAAACATTCGCCTACTTTCACATCACCACCCGCTGGATTATGTTTCACATTGGCAAGTGAACCAACTTTTGGTGAAGCTTTCTCTTTAAAATCTAATTTTTCAATAGGTATCTGATAATAAACCAAAAAAAAAAAGAATATTAAAGAACATGGATCGCAATCACATTTAAGTAATCAATCAATCAATCAATCAATCAACCAATCAATCAATCGGTAAATTAACCGATAATACTTGATTGGAGTAAATAAATCAATAAAGGAATGTTGATTACTTAGATTTGTGTGTATACAAATGGGTATATATAGCTTGGTTGTAAACAGAAGATAATGACAAAAGTTTGTTAATTAGATCATGTTTAATAACACCAACAACAACAATAAAGTATGTTGTCAAGTAGATTTAAGTCATAAATGATACATGTACATAAGAAGAAAAACATTTTATAAACAGTAGATTTATTATCAATAAAAAGTTGACAACATAATGTATTCATAATGATTAAGATTTTCAATTTAATACCTATCAACTACAATAATACATTGATTATATGGTATGAAATGGTATGAAATGAAATGTACCAATTAATTTGATGTTCAGAAGTGACTTATAACTAAAATTGGGGGGGGGAGGGTTATAAAGATTGTAGTGATTTTAATAGTTGTATTCATGAATTGTTTTAAGCTAGACAATAATTAAGAATCTGGAAACATTGGACGGTCATTCTGTTCTAGTATGGGACTCCTCGATGGTGCACGTCTACGATCTCGCACTCGGGATTCGGACCCTGTTGGGGACGATAGATCCCTGGAACTCACTTAGGAATTTAGAAAATTTGAATTTATTTGTTTTCGAGCCAAAAGCGCTCTTGTCACCTTCATGTCGTATTTCCCGCTTGAGAGAGTTTTAAATGCTATCGGTCCGTTGTGTCTTTTAGTATGCTATTTTGTATATATATATATATATATATATATATATATATATATATATATATACGTTTTGATTTGTGTTTGTTGTTATCGCCGGTTTCTGGCTGTTTGCGGAATATACTTCCTCATTCCAAGCTTGGACTTCTTCCTTTAGTTAGTGGGGCTGGGACGCATCAAATCGCTAGCTTATTGGTCTTGGTCACCGAGTCTTTGTTCCGTTCGCAGTCTAAGTGAACTCGTAACCGCTTCAAACCTAGTAGACCCAGGACCTTTAGTCTCGCGTGCGAACGCCTAACCTCTAGACCACTGAGTTGGCATCCGAAGGTGTTAATGCTTAAGTTCAATCGATCCATGATATTATGCAACGATAATGTCTCTATCCGACACGGATTTGACTCTACTGATCACGGCTTGTCACTAGAACTTCAAGAAATCCATCCACTAGCGATTACATGATGAAAACTATTACAATGGAGGTTTGTGGAAATTTTATTGATTTTAATACTTGAATTCATCAGTCCAGTGCTTCCAAGTTTTCAATGGTCGTCTAGCTTACATCGACTCATAAATTCCACTATTAAAATCACGTATAACCAAGTCAAGAAATGTTAATAATTTAATGGTAGAAAAGATAATTTGTGAGAAGTTTCGCTCTGTGATCTGGATGATTTGATCGTGGAATAATAACTCATCAAAAGAACAATAACAGCTCCACGATCAAACCATCCAGCTGAACGAATGAAACTCCAAATAAATCCGTTATTTAATATTTCAATCACTAGAAAATTGTAAATATATGATTAGTTTGATATTGTTGAAAACCAGAAGAATACTAGACAATAATATCTGAATCTTTGATAACATCTACTCACTAGTCAGCCAAGAACAAAGTGAAGTCAGTCAGTTACAACTGTTGTAAAAAACGATTCAACTAAAAGATAAAATTATTAGAAGGGGTTTTGTGGAGATTGTAGTAATTTCAATGATTAAGAACGGCTGTCCAGTGCTTCCAGGTTTTCCATAGTGGTCTAGCTTCAACGGACTCATGATCTTAACCATTGAAATTACTACAATCTCCACAAAACCCCTTCTGATAATAATCAACATATGTTCACTAGTGACTGGCTTCAAGAGGTACATCCTGGAGTTCTAGTGAGAAGTAGTGTCCAGTGGAGTTCAACCAGGTCTGTTGTGAGATAGTAACTCACTGAAGACAATGTTGGATGTGTCGCTCAATTTCGTGGATTAGTTGAAGTTAGACATTAACACCGCTGGATGCCGGCCGGCTCAGTGGTCTAGTGGTTAAGTGCTCGCGCGCGAAACCAGTAGGTCCTGGGTTCGGATCTCGCAGAGGGGCGAGGTCGTGGATGCGCACTGCCGAGGAGTCCCACAATAGGAGGAAACGGCCGTCTAGTGGTTCCAGGTTTTCCATGGTGGTCTAGATTCAACTGACTCATTAAAAGATAAAAACTTCCAAAGCTATTTTCCTACGATTTTATTTATATATGTTGATTGCGTGCTTATTAAGTATTTCGGTTTTATTGTTTTCGTATTACCCAAGTTCCAAGTTTTTATTTGAACCGTAAATTGTCACTATAGCATTTTCCATTCATAAATTAGAAGCGATTATTTGTGTACTCAGTACTCTATTTTTCCCATCATAAATATTGTTGTTCTGTATTAGTACTATTACTCAATTGGTCTGTTGTGTGGTCTGATCTTGTATGTATATAAATGAATGATCTTGAACTGGTGATCATTGGTCCTACGTTCTTTCTTTTCGTTTGGGACAAGATAGTATTGAGCCAACCGTCAAGCATATAATATCAGTCCTTGTTGAGTATTAGTTGCTTAGGGTCATCTACGTGTATTGGTTGATTACAGGACACAGCAACAACGTAGAAACTGGTACATATGTACATCGATTCAAGTAACCATACCCCTTTAGCACATAGAGATGAAATGGTTAGGGAAAATCCAAGAGTAGCAGAGGTAGTAAGAGTATTAAAGGTAATAGAAAAGAACAAGCGTCGAAGACATGATTCGAGAAAGCAAAAGTTAGTGAAATAATAATAAATTCATAAGCTTATAATCTGTAGGAAGGCAAAGCACCTGAGACATCACAAACGATTTTGAGCAATGTCATTCAAAGTATCTCAACACCGGACTACAATCAGGTAATCTACACTTATGAACATGACTCAGTCTAATTATTAATAACGTTATGGACTAATAAAATGTTCTGATTTGAGCACCTCCAACTTTCTTACAACCTACTCCTACATCAGACAACATCCTCCACCGAGGTAGATGGTGGTTAAATATACGCAAAATATGACTCAATCACATCAGTTAATGAAGATTTACTACTTTTTCGATAGACTTGGTATCATTATCTAGCACTTTATTCCTAACCCAGTTACTGATTACTCGGTGGTCCCGAAATACACGAGGAATCCTTAGAAGACACCTATGATCAAATACTAGCAACCTACAAATATCTCCTACTTCCAAAGACTATGTTTCATACCCATAAATTAGAACATAACAAATTTCTGCGCAGTACACTCGTCATTTATTTGGCACATGGCTACCTCGTCTACTTCACGAATGAAAAAAGTTGGCAGCTTTCAACCAAGCTTTCTGAATCTATGTCGAGATTTTGTCAGACACCAACCTAAAAGGGTTGGTGAGACTTTCGAGATGAGTAAAGTGATCGACGCGCTAAACTACTTCGCTTCCTATCATTAACTCAGGTATCGACTAAGGCTAGTCCTGGAGCAACATTGTGCATTTAAAGGGTGAGAGTTGCATCCCAAAAGTGTTTAGATTGTTGCTTAAAGGGGTCCAAATTCTCTGCATTCTATCATTGTCTTCACCAGAAAAAACTATATCATCTGTGTATTCTAAGTCAACAAACCTTCAAGAACTTCTAACATTAGTCATGTTATAGTCCGAGTATCATCCATTGTTATCGATATCTGTTTCACATCTGATATGGTTGAACTACTAACGATCAAGAAACACTAAAGAGTTTCCTCTAAGCTCGAAACTTTTCAGCAGAGCAAACCAATGATGTCAAAGACAGGGTCGAACGTTTAACCTACAGGTTTTACAACCAGTAAATATAATCCTACAATAATTAAATTGAAATTTAATATTCTACGTCTTTGACAAAGTGTTAATTTGCATCATAGTACAATCATCATTCAATATCAGAACACTAATATCTTTCAACATTGATTACAGATTCTATCTGATCTTTGCACAAATTAATCATTCATCCATCTATCCATTCATTCACTTACCTTTTTGTCACCTCCACCAGGAACATGTTTAATATTTTGAAATGATCGAACTTTCGATTGGGTATTAGATGAAAAATCAAGTTTTTGATCAATAATTTGTAGATTTCCTCCACCTTTATAGTAGAAAGATAAAAACAAAAAAAATAAAGACTTGTGTAAAATATACAACTTTTACAGATACATTTTTATTTCATGAATCCATCTAAGATAAATAACCAGTGAACATCAGGAGGCATTGAAAATTTCCCGACCGTTGTTGCTACCTTGACGTGGTGTTCGGGCATGCCTATCATGATGAACCAATCAAGCTATACTGGCTGGAACAATCGTTCCTCAAGGTCCTACCATGCCAGACAGGTCGGTTGAAGAGCGGTTAGACTAAAAACAACAAATCCAAGGTCCGAGGGCTAAGTCGTACTGCTGACTGTACAGAGGTGTGACAGTAGTAAGGTGTTTTTTTCAGACAACCAACATGACAGCGATGCTGCCTTCACACAAGGAGGGTGGGGTTAGAAAAGGTCGACCATAAAAATGCACATCTCGCCTTATCTCACGGATATCCGTCTCCGGTGGTAAGATCTCAACAAGTAGGGAGCTAACACGAAAGTCACACACAAAATGGTTGTGTGACTGACCTAATGTTGTTGTCCTCTAAGCACTGCGGTCACGCTCTTAGGTCACTAAGACCACGTCTAATCCAATTTCATTTTCAGGTACCTCCAGCAGAACCCTTCCAAGGTGTGGGCAACGGGGAAGTGATAACCACCCTCCTACTTCTAACAGCACTCAAGATTGAAAATTTGACTTTTTCCTTGTACAGGTTGAGAATGTTCATCAGTAAATGGTCTTGTAAGTGAAAGAGTTACCTATCAATGATGGTTGTGAAATGGAATGAACTAACTAAATTTAAAAATAGAAACTAATTTATTCCATTTAACAAGTTGGAAGGTTAGGCGCTTACAGAGAGTGGCAGATGTATACTACCTAGGTGTCCCATTTAAGGAAAAAAAACTGATACTTAAGGTTTCCTGGTTTTAAATAATTGTACAGCTTGAATCAATTCATGATTTAGACAACATTTAACAATCTCCATGATTCCCAGCCCCCCCCCCTAGACTGACTGACAAAAAAATCTTAGCTTGAAAATTCATCAATGGATTCTGTGTGAAAATCTTATCATTTGATGTTACCTATATAGAATCAATCAACAATAAATTTTGTTCAATCTAGATTCCATGCAAGTTGACACTCATTAACTAAGATATCATACTTTTAACCTTGAACGAATAGATGTTCTTGGTAGGATTCAAATTTATGTCACTAAATCTCATAAACTAAGATGTTACACGAATGAACTAGGTCGACTGTAGACAACCTTCTATAACATTGATTGATGATTGAATTTGTCTGTTTTGATTGAATGATAAAAGTCAGCTGATATATAAATCCATATTGAAATAGAATAGAGAATAGTCATCTGATATTGATAGGATGCTTAAAATAATAATAATAATAATAATAATAATAATAATAATAATAGATGGAATTGAAAAGTATACGCTTATAAAGATATTCAACATCAAGGTATTTAGTGTTAGTCTAATATCAATAGTTAAGATCATGAGTCAGTTGAAGCTAGGCCACCATGGAAAACCTGGAAGTACTGGAAGGCGGTTTCGTCCTATTATGGGACCTCACCCCCTGTGAGATCCGAACCCAGGACCTACTGGTTTCGCGCGCGACCACTTAACCACTAGACCACTGAGCCGGCCGGCATCCAACGGTGTTAATGTCTAACTTCAACTAATCCACGAAATTGAGCGACACATCCAACATTGTCTTCACTGAGTTATTATCTCACAACAGACCTGGTTGAACTCCACTGGACACTACTTCTCACTAGAACTCCAGGATGTACCTCTTGAAGCCAGTCACTAGTGAACATATGTTGATTATTATCAGGTCGTGGATGCGCACTGCTGAGGAGTCCCATAATAGGACGAAACGGCCTTCTAGTGCTTCCAGGTTTTCCATGGTAGTATAGCTTCAACTGACTCATAATCTTAATCATTGATATTACTACAATCACCACAAAACCCCTTGTGATATTAGTCTAATGTATTTATAAAACGTGTTCACTTCCTTGATCCATTCTTCAAGATGTTAGAAATTAGTTTAAGATATGATTATTAAATCTTTGTCCATAAATGTGCTTTGGTTAGTTTTTTTTAATTCAGATCATGAACCGATTGATGTTAGACCATCATGGAAAACCTTGAAGCAATGGATGGCCGTTTCGTCCTATTGTGGAACTCCTCAGCAATGCGCATCCACAATCCCACTCACATGATTCGATGATGACTTATTAATAATAATGTCGATGATTTATTTGGTTTAGTGTATTAAAGCACAAAGGTAGACAGTTACATTTCTTTAAAAGGTTAAATGATTAGGGAGTTATTATGTAAGAGGTATAATATTGAAAAAAAAGTAGATTATGCTTTGTCAAGGTTCATATATCTTTATTTACATTGGGGAATGATAAATAATATAAGTAAATACTCATGATCTATGTACACTATTGTTTGGTTCGATAATGAAGTTACTCTACTCATATCATTAGTATCTATGTTCTCTAAATTATATTTTATTATTATATAACTTCTACTGCTGTAAATTCCTTAGTGTAACCAAATATATGATATTAGGGAAGGCGAGTACTATTATTATTATTATTGTTATGTGATAAGTCAGTCCGCAATTTAATTAGAACAGATGAAATGTCACTAACTGTGGAATTCAGTATGAGAGTTTCTTGCTATCTGAATCTTATCAGATGAATACACATGAACCATATGGTCAGGAGTTATAGTGTTATGAGTCAGTCAGTCAGTCAGCTACAACGTAGCACCAGGCACATATATGCATCGACCCAAGTTGCCATACCGCATTAGCACAACAAGATGAACACCGGATTCATAGGAGTAGTTAATATATAAAAGAAAGACAGTGTATAAGGATGTGGTACAAAAAGAAAGAATTAGTTGATAGAAAGAAATGAAATATATGAAGCGATTTTATTTTCATAGTTTAAGGGACGACGAAAAATGTATACACCTACATCATTGTGATTGATTCTGAGCCATATATCACCCACAGTTTCCAACCACTGGTTAGGATAGTCACGCGGACACCAACCTGACAACATGACTAATACTAGAAGCCAGTGTCTTCAATCACTGATGTCACGTTTTGGTTTGGCCGACCCTAACTTTCTTCCAATCATCCCCTACAATAGTCAGTATTACGCGTCGTGGTAATCAGTTTTCAGGCATTCATAACACGTGGTCCATCCATCTTTGTCGATGAAGATTCACACACTCATGAACTGATTTACCATCATTTCCCAATATCCTACGTCTAACCTCACTATTACTTACTCGGTGATCCTAATAGATGCCAGCTATATTTCTAAGACATCTGTGGTCAAATACTAGTAACCTACGAATATAGTGTTATACTTAAAGACCTTATACTTACATAAATCTTGTACACATTAAACAAGTTAATGACTATCTGGGTTCACTAGCTCAGTATATAAAAAAATTGATTAGTTCAAGAGATATTTCCTAAATTCTAATACAAACGGATCAATGCAAAATTAGAACAAAACATCTATGCTGAATCCGATTGTTAACCACATTTCTTTTATTCTATGTAAACTTGTAACATACAGCAATCCAATATGGGATACACAGATATACCAAAAAACAACAACAACAACAACAACAGGATAATTGAAACAGTTCCTTATTATAATCTAAATAAATTGTTTACTTAATCAAACAAATTGTAACTAGAAAATTTTCCGATCATTTTGATTAATTTTGATTCAATTTACAAGACAAATGTATACAAAGAGAAAAAAAAAAGTAGGGTACTTGAACACATTCACACACACACATACACACAATTGTATAAACATTCACATTATGGTACCTGGTTTATGCTTGACATTAGCTAATGAATTACATTTCCCGGCAACTGTATTCACAATTACTTTTTCATTGAAAATTTGTACCTGGAATACAACAACAACAACAATAACAATAACATAAGAAAAATGAGAAAAGTAATTGTAAATGATCTTTTATTGTTTACACTATTACAAAACATTAGATGAAATATAAATTTTTTCAACTTCTGGATGAAGTACCTATGTGTGTATGTGTATGTGTATGTGTAAGTGTGTGTGTGCGTGTGCGCATGTATATATATTATGCAGATCAAGTTGAAATATAAACAAAGATAGAAGATAGATGAGAGTTGAATGAAGAAAAAGTAAACAGTATAATCTTTCATTAAATTGAATCTATTCAATGTTGAAGAAGATCGATAATAGGAATATGTCTATCTTTAATATAACAGGACTAAATTCCTTTAGTTTTCATCTTGTATATATCTATATATATATATATATATATATATATATATATATATATATATATATATATATATATATATATTCAGTGTCCAAACTATCATATCACATATATAAGGATATGATGGTTAAATGAAACGCTGAAATTGTAATATAATCAATAATATCAATATGGGGGATTTGTGAAAATTGTAGTAATTTGTACAGTTAAATTCATGAGTCGATCTAAGTGAGACACTACTGTTACAGTTACGTGCCATATTTCTGATTGGAAGATTATCTATCCCGCAGCTATGTTTAGTAGCATCCTAAAAATTTTCCAGAAGCTCAAAGCCATCTGGAATGCTATGAATACCCTTCATTTTCTGTACATAAACTAATCTTGGAGTAAAACATTCTTTCAATATTTCACATCATTTCATTCGTGTTTTAATTGTCATTTCGATTTAGCCTGGAGTTGTTATTAGAAGATCTAAAGAAACCGATTCAACTGTTCATACAGAAAGTTTATCAAGTCAATGGACTAATTGTTTTGAAATGCTCCTCCTTTTATCGATTTACTTTCTACCATTAAATTAGCTCATGCATTAAAATTGTTTACACACACACACACCTTATTTTTCAATAATCCATAAACTTTAATTGTATTACCTTGGTGATTTTAGGTTAATTTCAATTTTCAAATATTTATTTGTTTCAGCTGAATGAAAATGTAGTTTAGTGTGTTTTACAACATGGTTACAAACAAGCATAGATAGATACATTGTCATTTATCCATTATAGTTATTATTATTGTTATTCATAGTGTTAATTGTAAGGTGTTGGATGAAAATAGTCGACAGATAACCCTACTTAACTTAGGTTTCGTAATATTTAACACTCATCAGTCAGGTGTATCTGTCATATTGAGGAAACCAATGTTCCATGGTAGATTTAATCCCGTGTGACTTAGGTTCTCTGTTATAGAAGTTATTATTGAACTATTCGGGCAGAGAGTCAGTCAATCAGTCAGCCGCAACGTTGGACTAGGCACATATATGTATCGTTACAAGTTGCCATACCGCATTAGCACAACAAGATGAACACCTGAATTATAGAAGTAGTTAATTCAGTGGTGGTAATATATAAAAGAAAGATTGCATATAAAGATATACTACAGGAAGAAAGAATTAGTTCGGGCAGAGACTGATCTTCTGTACGACTGAGATGTATTTTCAGTTTACTGATCATTGAGTAGTAGTGACCAATGTCATGTATATCAATTCTTTCTTTAGTTCCAATCCGATTCTGTCGACCAAATTGCAATTCAATCAGCACTAGGAGGGAATTGACATGCTTGGCATTAGTCATTACTTAGTTATTAATCAATTGTTAATAGAAATAATTGTTATTGTATCTAACATATCACATATAACGTATATCACGGTGAACAGAAAGTGTGTGTGTGTGTATGTGTGAAAGTCAGAAAGGAATTTAATTAATGAAATCAATACTTTTAACTTAGTGTCATACTAAACTATGTTTTGAAGAAGTTGAAGAGGTAGGAAACATAATGAAAAGGTTAATTGCCATTTAATAAATATAGAGGGGATACTAATCATTTTTTGAAATCAATTGTTGATAGCTTCAAAGAGATAAACTACGAAATACAACTACCTCCATAAATGATTATTGATTGCTCGCTAGTGATTAGCTTTAAGAGGTAGTTCTCGCAGTTCCAGTAAAAAGTTATAATCAGTTTCATTCAATCATATCTTCAGTGGAGCAGTTACTCCATCAATCGCATTAGATGATAGTTGCACAGTGTTATTAATCGACTGAAATTAGGAATGTAAATTACTGAATGTTAACTTACTGGCCTAAAAGTTAAGCGGTTGAAGTGAGATCTAAATGTCTGGATTTCAATCTATGGTGGTGTCATGGATAAGATATGCTATTCGACAACAGACAAGTGGGTAAAATAGTGAATCTTAGATGAAAACGGTTTTTAACAATTTGAAGTCAGGGTTATTGACTGTTACTATGTTTGTAAAAATAAATAAAAATAGGCAAATAGGTGAAAAAATTAAACTCATTACACTTACATTTCCACCTCCTGGTTTATGTTTCGCATTTTGAAACGATCCAATTTTCGAAGAGATTGGTCTTGGTGGGCCTAAAATTTAACAGAGAAGATGAAAGAATAATGAACCTTTGGTTAGATACGTTATCCAATTCATCTTTTTTGTCTTATCACCTTTAAGTTTGATCATACCGATTACTCATGTGTAAGCCTGATCATAATTTATACATTTGTGTATGCTAGTGCCTATGTGTGTATACTCACTTGTATCTATTTCATGGTTATAAATACTGAGTTACCTATAACTCACTGAGCTGGTCATTTTTGACGCTTCGGTGATTCATACTCATTTCTTTTCATCTTTCGTCGTTCGTCTGTACTATCGAACATCCGAAAAATACGTTGTTATTAATGAGATTAATCGAAGTGAGTATTTCGGAACGGCGGGCTTACACCGCAAAACAATCTGTGGGTCAATACAATAAAATATAATGTCAGTTAATCACAAGGAACTTAAGAATCTGGCACACCACTTTATAGTAGTAAGATGAAATTATCAAGACAAATCTTACACAGTAGTGATTATAACATTATCAAACATGTTGGAAACTATTAGGCATAAAAAAATATAATTCCAGATGAAAGAATTAAAGAATGACATAATTTTGAAACTCAAGATCTGTAAGGTAAACGAATACAATGAACCAATTAATAATTGTTAAATGATAGATGTAAGTAAATGGGCAAGAAATGGTCTTCATTTTCAAGGAATGATACAAACCAATGATAGACTTAATTTTCTAAAAGAAAAGACATACTAATATATAGATGAGTAGAGATGTCGGCGAGACTATAATTTATGGGCAAACGAATCAGGTATAAGATTACAGGTCTCGGATTTTGGCGCGAAATTCACACATCCATTTGAATTAATAGAGTTTTGGCGTTATAGACGATGTCAGTTTGTGATGAAAACCCTCAATCTAATTTCTAACCATAATCATCATCTGTAAATCATAATTCTAATTCATCACACTGCTTTATAACCCTCATTTGATCCTGGTTGTTAAAAGGACACCTTCAAGATCAGTCTAGCGTCACTCAAAGGTCGTCCATAAATTATAATCTCACCGAAATGTCTGTTTCAATTTAAACAAATAAACATTTTTTCTCACTCTTCGTCTACTTTCATGAATAACCGGGTTCACGTATAGAATGAGTGTGTATCAAATATCATCTCTCGGAGAAAGAGTGAACATAATTTTGATAATATAACGGATTCAGAGTCATTTCATCCAACATCTTTGATTAAGACAGACTAAACAGATAGCAAGTATCTACCAGCGTCATACATGTTCCAACCATTTCAATCGATTAAAATTCATTACCTCATCAACCGATTGGCTATTTTTGATTGTCAGACGGATGATATAACGCCTACACTACAATTGATGCTATGTGGAAAAATTCAAGCAAGTCGGAATGTTTTGAATTTGCATCAAACACCAACCTATTATGGATGACGAAACTTCCAAGATATGTGAATATGACATGTTTAACTCAAATACCTCAATGCTAACAATATTAGGAAGATAATCTTTATCTCTTTTAACAACAGTCAATATTGTAGTAGTATGCATTTGTAATCTGGTTCTGCAAGAGGTTCAGTTTAAGTTTACCTGAATTTTTTAAGAAAATCATGTTAGTATCCAGTTCCTGAAGTATATAGGTAGCTTCTTTGTTTTTGACTAAGTTAAAGCTACAAACGTTCTAATAGCCATATGCTTAATAGTGATTGGATAAGTCAACCTGAAGTTCATCGGTCAATCATTCTGCGTTTTAAAATCAATTCCAATAGAACTTGATGATAATACTCTTAAAATTAATCATTAGCCTAACGAATCAATATATTTCAGTATTTCACAAAGCTGAAAGAACATTTGGATGCATCATCAAAAGTCCAAACAGGAAGCTGTGATTCATGGAGTAAAACAACTCTTCAATGTTAATATACACCAAGAATCAAATAGAGTGATAAAATGAAAAGGTGATAGCCTAAGTTTCCAAACCACTTCAGCAAAACAAGACAGAACATTAATAAAATCAATAATGAAAGAGTAGGGATAACGGTAGTAGTAGTAGTAGTATTGATCATGAAATCAACTTTACATTGGTAAGTATGTTTTGAAAAGAAGGGATGACTTAGAACAATAAAACATATGAAATAATATTAAATCTTAAGATTTGGAGGAAGATAAAGTGTGAATACATTGTAACTCATTTTGGTCTATTTTATTGTATAGTCAGTCAGTCAGTCAGCTGCAACGTAGGACCAGGCACATATATGCATCGGTACAAGTTGCCATACCGCATTAGCACAACAAGATGAACATCTTGAATGATTGGTCACAGTGATTAAATGATTTTGAACTTACTCTCTGTTAGATCTAGAATTGTGGGGCTTTTTTAAAGACTACAAATTCACCCTTATTGTTGATCACTAATACTACTTATAGTAATAATATCAATAATATAAGTAATATTTTAGATCTAGAATGAAACGATTAAACTGAAGAGCTAAACATGAACATGACTATCAGAGAAGGTATACCTAGATCTTATTGTTAAGGATATTCAATAGTCATTCAATATAGTAAACATATATTTATATGAAATAATGAACTTACCACTGCTAGAGAATACCTGTAAATCAAAACAAAAAATGATTGCTTAAATTATGCAATAATTTATGAATGCTATGTAAATTGAAAAGACAATTATGATCATAATATCAAATATACATTATAAGTTTAGAATAAACTTGAATTTCCAGTCCCATTGAATGATAACAAGATTCAAATGTGTATCTAAGATAGTCCATAACATGAGATACTATGTTGTGGATTGTTAGATAATTTGGATGAACAATATGTACGAATATATCGGTCTTATAATACATCATTCATGATTTGAATATCTTAGAGCAAGCATCTTTAACACTTGACAATAAGTGATATAAGTTCTAATCCTGAAGTCGAACATCAGTACCTTGACAACTGCCAACTACATGGAACTTAATGATGGTAGAGAACATTTGTAGATGAGATGGATGTCTTTGTTGGAGTATAAAGAACAAAACTATATCAAAAATGGGTATTAGGCATTAAATATAACTACTTCATGCTAAATACCTTCCAAAAGAATATATTTCATGATATTACCAAAAGTTATACCATATACAGCAATATGGACATGATTTAAACATTTCACCAACTTGGTAAGTATCTATTCAGTGAACAGAATACATTATGCATCCACAAGTATGTTAGGAAATAACCAAGTAAGAAAAATAGAGCCCATAGAGACAACTATAGTGATAGATACCGGATGATAAATCTTGAAATTCATTAAAATAACATTAATTTATTCATATTTTTATATTCATTAAACTTCTATAATATCAAGTTAGTTTTCTCTTGTGATAGGTTGGGCTAATCAGAAATAACACGTGGTTTTATTCTCATATGGTGCCCTTCAAGGCCAAGCACTGAATACAAGATGACAAATGATGCATGCTATTGGATGAGACTCATTATGTACTTTATTTAAGTTTTGGCTTATAAGCTCAATGGACATATATATCAATGATTTGTGTACCATAATATTTAGTTGTCAAGTACATCTTTCTAATCATTTTTAGTCTTCTCATTGACTAGATGGAGTATAGGAAACGCGTGTATCTGTAACTCATCAGGAAATCTAATAATGTAACATTCAATGATGACAATTCATCAGTTGGTTTCTATACAGTAGCAAATGAAAATTCAAGCAGCATAGTTGAAATCCATTGAAATTAGATGACGAAGAAACTTACAGTTCAAATCAATCTTACATCGTTTTTCAATGGATTAAATGAAATCAATAAACGAGTTGTTATCTAATTCAATGAATGAAAGAACTTTATCTTGATCTTCAAGTAAATGTGACAATACAGCCCTGATTCAACCAATATGAAAATATCTTTCGACCTTAATCCTTACAATATAATGATGATGATCTTTAGACAATTTGTATACACTTCTGGAAACTGGGCAAGTTGACTTTATTATAAATTTATATAAGGTTCTATACGCATTATACCCGATTTTCTATTTTATCCCCAGTCAGGAATCAAAATTTTCCATGGCATCATAACTACTCAAAGAAACGGATACCAGAAGTTGATCATTTAAATGAATAACTTAGGCTTCTTTACATTTTATCAAAACAACTTTCTTCAACATTCCATCATTTTAGAAATTGATATATGTTTTTTCAAACAATAGGACATGGGTTCGAAACCATTCGTCAGTTAAGATATCTGGTCAGTGACAATAGTTCACATACAAACAACAGAGTTCATAAACTTTAGTTTAACTACATTTTTTAAATACAGATTTAACACCCAGATCAAACAATCAGTTCAGTACGACCAAAAATAAGCATCATGCCTAATTCAACTTAACAATCTTTTTAAGATGGTGACGGCGATAATGATCGGAAAACCAATTAAATATTCTTAACAAATTGAAACACACTACATAAAACAAGATCGATCATATTTGCACCACTAAAAAATTCAGAAAGACAATAGATGTGAGAAACAGGAAAGATGACATGGATTCAGGTCACTAAACAGTTGTGGCCAAGATGAAACTGAGGCTAAAGAAACATTGGACGGCTGGGGAAACAGCATTAAAAAGGTTCAATACAGCCTTCATACGTGGTACTAACAAACTCAACAAATTCAAAAAACTCTCAACAACAGGTTCCAGGCCTTACAAGATCTGCTCACAGAAGGAGAAACTGATTCATAAGACAACTGGAAAGGGATCAAAGAAGCACTAACTTCAACGTGTCAGGAGGTTTTTGGCCACAAGAAGCATCATAAGGAATGGATCTCTATCGAAACCCTGGACAAGATTCAAGAATGCAAGAATAAGAAGACAGCAATTAACAGCAGCCAGCTGAACAAGCATAGAGATATCAAAAGAATGAATAGAAACTGGAAAGGATTGATCAGGAAAGAATTGGATAGAGAATCCTAGTGAGCGGCCTACGCTCCTTTACGGTGGGCTACAAACGTAAGTAAGTAAAAAATTTTCACTGATACCAAATAAAACAGAGCGCTCATTTATGATGGCAAAATCATCAGTACCGAATGAAATGAAAGTATTAGTAATACTAAACTATTTGGTTAATTCTTATGTGAATCAAACAGAAAAAAAATGACCAGTCAGCAAAAATTGAAATATTCCACAACCTAGTAACAAGTTAGATAACATAAATAGGTAGCATAAAATAGATTAGACAATTGATATTATCCAACTCTTAAACCTTGAATAGAGTAGAAAAGGCGAGAAATAACTAAACAAGCTCAATTTCAGAGGTTAGATTGAGTATGAAAACGGAAGGCATTTGCAGAACTATGAATGACTTCAAGAGTCTAGAAGCTTGTGGAGAACATACTAAAGTGTCTATCAAACCAATAATTTTTTAGTCCAGATAAGGAAATTTTATTTGAATGGTTGAAGATTTTCTAGATTCTAGAAATTTATTAGAAAAGTTATGGAATCGATACAAAAAGGGAAGGGAAGGTGGTAAAAACATTTTTTCCAAATTCTCAAACTCACACTTGATGTATCCGATTCCGTATCAACTGATTTGTGAGGATCTACAATGTAAACGGAAATAAAATAAGATTGAATCAATAATTTGATTTATATAATAGTAAAAGCAACATTCTTTGTTAAACAATGACCACAGTGATTCAAGCTTGGATTGTCATAGTCAGTCAGTCAGCTACAACGTAGGACCAGGCACATATATGTATCGGCCCAAGTTACTATACCACATTAGCACAACAAGATGAACACCGAGTTCATAAAAGTAGTCACTTCAGTGGTGGTGATATATAAATGAAAGATTGCATATAAGGATGTAGTACAGGAAGAAAGAATTGGTACGTAGAAAGAAAGGTATAAAGCAATTTTAATCTCAAAGTTTAAGGTAAGACAAAAAGCGTATACACCTACACCACTATGATCGATTCTCAGCCATATATCACTCAAAGTCACGCGGACCCCAACCAAATAGTCTGCATCTACCAACATGGCTCACACTAGAAGTTATTGACTTCAAGCAATGATGACACGTTTTGGTTTGGCCGAACCTAACTTTCTTCCAACCACTCCTAACACTAGTCAGTATAACGCGTCATAGTAATCGGTGTTCAGACATACGTAACACGTGGTCCAACCATCTCAGTTGATGAAAATTCACAACGTCATCAACTGATTGACCATCATTCTCTAATATCCTACATCTAACCTCACTATTACCTACATGGTGATCCCATCAGATGCGAGAAATATTTGTAAGGTATCTGTGGTCAAATACTAGTAGCTTACGAATATTTTCTATTCTTAATCGTCACGTTTCGCAGCCGTAGAGCTGCTAGCTCCAATCGAATCTTTATAGTTAACATTTCGGACTGATTTTTGTTAAACAATTATTGATCATTGAATAGCTGTTTTTTCTAGTATGGAACTCCTCAACTATGCGCATCCATGATCTCATCACCAGGAATCGAACCTAGGAACTTCAGTCTCGCATAAGAACGCTTAGTCGTCATCTACTAGTAAAATATTGACTCTAATCAATGTACCAGAAAAATGGAAAAAAATACCACAGTCATTGAATCAAATGATTATTAGGTAATCTAAGTTTGATTCCATACAGAATCATGTGCATCTTCTTAACAATAACAATAATTCCCAGTGATGGATTAAACAGCTATTACGTGCTCTAAGTGACTGTGTTTTATATTTTTCAAAGGTTGAGATCATGAGTCAATTGAAGCTAGACCACCATGTAAAACCTGGAAGTACTGGATGGCCGTTTAGTCCTATTGTAGGACATCTCATCAGTACGCGAGAGCGCTTAACCACTAGATCAATGAGTCGACATCCAACGGTATTCATGTCTAACTTCAAACAATTCACGCAATGGAGTAACATATTCATCAATGTCTTCAGTGAGTTATTCTCCCACAATAGGACGAAACAATCGTCCAGTGCTTCTGTATTTTCCATAGAGTGGTCTAGCTTCAAATGACTTATGATCTACAAAAATCCCTTCTGTTACTATATATCTCTATATCTATTCACTAATTCTCTCATAATGAAAATGATCTGATCCCAAGAAAGAAAAATAATTCACATTTGATTGAAAACAGAATAAGATCATTATTTAAACCATCAATACAATATAATCACTTTCCTTATTTTGTACACTGTGACAAAAAAAAAGAAAAGAAATTACCATATGATCCAGTGACCTTGACGATGGGATAAAATTTAATAGACCAATAGGAGAAGAGAGAAAGTCGAATTATTGATTAGTTGTTAAATAATTTATTTATTATTATGTTATCAGCTGTTATCTATTTTTAGTAAAATGATAAAAACTTCATTTATGATTCTTATTGTTTTATTTTTTTTTCTCTTTTTGGAATCATTTAAACTATTCACAGAAGTACAGAATGAAGTGAATGTCAATAAGGAAATAATTCATGAATCATTTAACTATGAAAAATGGTTATGAAATTCCACAAATGACAATTGTATGAAATGATTTTGAAAATGTGTTAAGTTTTGCCAGATTTGCTTCTTAAACTATTTCAGTAATACCTAGACTAGAACTATGCAGTGACTTAAACACGAGAGAAAAAGCGCAAAATATGTACTTCAAAAGTTCATTTATATACAGAAAATCTTGGGTTTTTATGGTAATTTAGATGTCCTTGGGTTTCCCGAAAATTCTACTAAACATAGTAGCAGTATAGTTAATCTTGCAATTATAAACTCAACATGCGACTTTTTATTTTCTAGATATTTCTGGCAGAACGTCTAGTCAATGATAATTGGATAAGATGCTCCTCAGTGTTCTCAAAGCCTTTTCCTGGCTTTTTTTCAAGGAGTTTTCAGAATCTCCACCAACTCTACTATCAAACAACACCTTACTCTCATTCATCCATTTGCAAATTAATCATCTCCGTCAACATAATCACCACTCGACAACAGCAAACACAACACTAATCACTTCTCACCACCACATTCAACACTACCCCATGCATACACGCCTACAGACAACCACTGAAAAAACCACAATAAACCAGATACTAACACCAATCTCAACAATAATCAGTGCACTTCATACACTACTGACAACCACGACTTATCAGTAGACAAGAAATATCAACTAGCCTCCTTCACACCAAACCAATCGTTCAACACACTCAATCAAACGTGCGAGCCAGCCAGCCAGCTAGCGAACTAGTGAGTGAGTGAGTGAGTGCGTGACTAAGTGACAGTTGACTTCAGCTGTGTGTTGAGGATGGATAAGATTTGATTTGCACCCAACACATCCGACCACCATACTGCTGTGCAATTGATATTAGCCCCGTGTATAGGGCTGCCAAAGAAAACTTCGATTCTTGGTCGACGGTTCTTACCATGCAACAAATCACAAGAGTAAAACCGTGACGGTTAACCCAACCACTCACAGTCCACCAACCCTACTATCAAACAACACCTCACTCGCATTCATCCATTTGCTAATCAGAATTGAGAAAGACACTGACACTGTTCAACATACCATTTCTGTTAATTTAGACTGCATATAACTTGCATATTGATACGATTCATAAATCTTAACCCTAAACACTGAATCCTGAAATAAACTTTAACTTGGTGACATTATATTTGATGACTGGAATAATCAAATAACACTTCTTAAAATTTTGTCCGCCATTCATTCATTCACATGATTGTAGGGTATTTGTACATTATATCTGGTATCAGTACGTGATGAATACTTCAATCCTAAAACCTTAATTCTAACCTTATATAAAATACCCTTACCCTAACTAGGATTAATGTGGAGTATTTTAAAATTTTTTCTGAGTCATTTTTAGGGTTCGAGAATGTAAAACATCGTTATCCATTAAGACATGGATCACTAGTCGCAGTTGTCGGTTTAACCCTAACCAAATAGTCTTCATCTAACGACAAGGCTCAGGACAGAAATCAGTAACTTCGTGGAACGATGTCATGCTTTGGTTTGGCAGCTCTCAGCTTTCTTCTAACCTACTTCTATACTAATAACTATCGTAAAAACACAATTCATGTTAAATCTTTTTAAACAATCTTAAATTATAATGGAGAAATAGATGGATGATTAACCCTGTGACTTTCCACTTTCTAGATGTTTCTGGTAAAACTTCTAGTCTACGCTAATTGAATAAGATGCTTCTCAGTGTTTTCAAAGCCCTTTCCTGGATTTTTTTTTCAAGGAGTTTTCTGAATCTCCTCAACAGAAACAATTCACTATATAAAGTAATATAATTGCAGTAAATAAGTATTTCTGATATAATTAATCAATTAACCTTAACCATCATGTTGAGTAAACGAAAAACATAAGGTTAGAATTCACTTAATATTGTTTTATTTGAATCTTCCCATTGATGGTTAGGACTGAAATTGTTCAGTCTCTTATTGGCATATGTGCATACTGTGCGTATGCCTCGATATTGCCTTAATTTCCACTGCTAGCCACTATCCATCTTTGCCTATAAGGTTAGAATGTTTTCATCACAAACTGACATCAACTTTAATGCAACAATGTTTAGTAGCAATAAGAATGAATGAATTTCAACAAGCATTATCTTAAATCTGTTTAATTAGTTCATGAGTTATGGTCCCATCACTTTATTTATAGATCTACGAAAGTTATGGTTAAGAATTAGTTATAAGATGAAAGTACTTTTCAATTACACAAACAATCTTGATTATGCGATGAATCACATAATTTACGCTGAGATAAAGTATACACAAGTGATATATAAACTTTGTATATGCAATCTCCTAACAGACCAATGATTAAAAAGATTAAAAGTGAAGAGGGAAGTTTATTAAGCTTAAATTATTCACATCCATAAGGGTTTACGATTGAGGTATTCACCACGTACTGACATCAGAGATAATGTACAAATGCCCTACAATTATGTGAATGAATGAATGTCGCTTAAAATTTTAAGAGATTTAAGCGTTTTTAGTAGTATTATGGAAATAGTTTTACTGTTTGTTATATGAAATATTTGAATTTAACAGAACAAAACTAAAATTCGTGTTTTCAATCCTGATTATCTCATCCCAAAAATATACTTTTACTAAATTTGTCTAATGCTCCATGACATCATGTAATCTATGTAAGGTAGCAGTTGGAGGTAGCCAACAAGAAATCCTACTTGAACAAGGTTTCGTAACATAAAGCACTCGTGTCAGCAAGGTGCGTATGTAATCTTGAGGGAACTGATATACTCTGGTGAATTCAAACCAATATAATTCAACTGCACAAACGGAGGCATCACTACTAAGCTATTTGTGCCATAAATGAACTCATGTGGGACTAAGATGCACTTAGAATTCATTGATCACTGGGTAGTGACGAATTTCATGTATCTCAAGTACTTATTAAATGATAATCGGATTTCATTGATCAAATTGCACGATTACAAGTACACATTGATGATAAGTTTCAAAAAGCATAAAATCTAGGTTTAGTATTTCTTACTCACTATCTCCAATCACTACCTTACGTCCAAACAGACAGTCAGTCAGTTACAACGTAGGACAAGGCACATATATGCATCAGTTCAAGTTGCCATACTTCATTATCACAAAAAGATGAACACCGAATTTATAGAAGTCGTTAATTCAATGGTAATAATATATAAAAGAAATATTGTGTATAAGGATATAGTACAGGAATTCGAGTCACTTAAACTAGTGGCCAGTGTTAAGATGAAATCAATATTGAGAACATTAGTCACTAATCGGCGATCAATCAGAGTAAATACACCGATTTCAATAGAGGTAAGTGATATTTCATACGTTCAATAATGTGTCTTAGATTGCACAACTAGATAACCCAGATTCGAATATTATAGCATGCATCAATTTACTGAAGACTCCAAGTATATCTCGCTGATAAATGTCTACTAGCATAAAATTCAGGTTAAATAGGATTTGTTGTTACTTAACTCTAACTACTTTTACTTATGTCATAACTGATATACATCAAAAACTGATTCAATAAACTACAGAGAAATAAAACACAAACAAAAAGTAACTTACGTTCAGACATTGTTCGATCTTGTCTATTCACTGGTTGTATTGTATTAATAGTACGTGGTCGGCTAACACGTTGATTACCAGAACCATTTGGTGATGATAATGTATGATATGTTGTTGGTAAAGATTTTTGTGGATAAGATGAATTGGATTGTAATGTTGAATGATCTGTTGACATATTGTTTGAATATACTGAATTATGCTTATCATTATTATTATTATTAGTAGTAGTAGTAGTAGTATTAATAGTTGTATAATTGATTGTAGTATTATAAGGGTTACAAGCATTACCACCATTTGACATGCAATTCTCACCATTTTGTTCATTTGGAGAATTATTTGAAGATGAATTATTATTATTATTACTTTTATTACTATGATTATTATTATTCAATCTATTAGCAATAGAATCATTCAAAGAGAATAATCGTGGAATTCCAGAAGGAGATTTAATTTTATTCAAAGTCATCTCTTCATCATTTAATGGACAATTTCTAGATGGTCTAGATTGATTTTGTTGTTGTATATCTATTAAATTTGATGATATTTCAATATTTTGATGTGCTACTGATAAAGATTGTTGATTTGAAATTGGAAATGATGATGATGATAATTGTCGTTTTGTTGTTGTTGTTGTTGTTGTTGTTGTTGAATTAACATGTTGATAATTTAATGAAGTTTCTTGTACAGGAGATTGAGTTAACATTGTAGTTACATTGAATTGTAATCAATTTAGTGGAACCCTTGAATTCAATTAGAAAAAGAAAATCAATAAATTTATGGAAATAATCTAATAATAAGAATTATATAAACATTGATACAAGAAGGTATTTTATTTTATTTTATTTTAACACATAAGTATAGGTACAGGGAGGCACCAAATACATATGCGCCACACGAATCTTAATTGATTTGTGTGAGGGCTGTGATACTGCCCGGGTGCCCAAACAGAAGCAGGTGGTTTTATTAGGGGGTCACACCCCGAGCCTTTGACCTGAACGTCTGACCCACAAGGCAGTGGAACATCGTGAGGAGATGCAGTCCCATGGTAGCCGGTGACCAACGATTGGTTCATACGCCATTTGTTCCTTCAGGATACTGGAGCCCATGTGCACCATTGGTTTGAGGTCCAGTTTAAGCCCCTGCTGGACATTCGCTTTTCGTCCTCTCATTTTTGTAAACAACACCCCCGCCACGAGAAGGCAGTGAGTAGGACTTCCCTGGCAGAGGCTATATACGCATGGCCATGTGAGAGCATTTCGAGAGGGAGAGCGGACTCTCCCCACTCTCAGCCGTACCAGGGCATTTGGGGGCGATACAAGAAGGTACCAAATAGACATGCCCTACATAAATCATTCGATTTGTAGAAGGGTTGGGATATTGCTCAGGTTGGCCAAATCGATGCAAGAATAATAATAGACTTAATTAATGGTTGAAATTTTATTACTGTAGAAACTTTTTCAGCATTAATTGTATGATATTTAGAGGAAATTTTGATTTAAGCTAGACAACTATTGAAAACCTGAAAGCACTGGACGTCCGGTTTCATCCTAGTATGTGACTTCTTAACAGTGTACATCCATGACCAGTGGAGTTCAACCGTATCTGTTGTGAAATAGTAACTCACTGAAGACAATAGTTGACAGTCTTGCAATATCATAATTTGGTTGAAGTTAGTTAGGTCGGCTCGATGATCTAGAGGTTAAGCACTTGCGTGTGAAACCAAAGTTTCTGAGTTCGAGTCCCATGTACGGGATCCCGGAGGTGCAATACTAAGGAGTTCCATACTGGGATGAAATAGCTATCTAGTGCTTTCAAGTTTTTTATGGTGATCATGAATTCAACTATTAAAACGACTACAATCTTCACAAACCTCCACCCCTCCATTCTATTCAAATTGTATCTATTTATGGAAATCTATTTTCAATTAAATGGTTTGAATAATTTTTTCTGGTTAGCGTTTTTTTAGCGAGTTAGTTTTCTACGGGATGGGGTCGTTAACCCCATGCCCAACCCTCCTCCTTTATCCGGGCTTGGGACCGGCAGTAGCCCCCGGAAAGGGGCTCCAGGCGGACACACATTGACGAAAGCACCGAACTGCGTCACAAGACAAGCCCTCATATGGAATCCTCAAGGTAGAAGGAGGAGAGGAAGACCAAAGAATACATTACGCCGAGAAATGGAGATAAATATGAGAAAAATGAACAAGAATTGGATGGAACTAGAAAAGAAGGCCCAGGACAGAGTGGGTTGGAGAATGCTGGTGGGCGGCCTATACTCCATTAGGAGTAACAGGCGTAAGTAAGTAAGTAAGTAAGTATTTTCAATTATGAAATATTTCTACTAATTCAACTGTTATCAACTATGATTTTCTATTTATTTATTCAAGTATAAATTGTAATTTATTCTTTTGTGATTTTTTTCTTCTTACAAGATAGATAAAGAAGACAATATGCCAAAAACTGTAGGTGTTTCCATCTTTCTGTTTTAAAGTTTCCTCATGTTGTGGTAATTTTTAAACTTTTTATAATAATAATAATAATAATCATATGTGGGTACATACAATTTACTCTTTATAATTATTTAGATGAAACTAAACCATAAAGTTTATGTGTAATGTTTGTATAATTTGAAAAGTAGATGATCTAAATGTTTGAAAAAACTACTAAAATCGAAAGGTAGATTAGCTTTCAGTAGGTGTTATATCCTGATAAAACCAATGAATGATAACTTTTAGAATCCATTTATAGATTAATATTATGCGTATATTTTAATTGTATAATTGTTACATAACTAAACTATCTGCATATTCATGTCCGTCTTATTATGAGCTTTATTTTGACCTATGAACTGTTATTATAAGATTTACTATTCTTGAATGATGTCCTGTCTATTAATTACTATCTCCAACATTCACAGTCGCATTTGGCTAAATCATATACAAATGTTGTTTCATATTTTATTGGTACAATGTGGTCTGTAAACACAGTATATTCGAAATACATGATTCATATTGCAGACGCTGAGATTTGTGTTCTGGGCTAGGCGGAAAGAAGGACTAATTAACACTCTAAACTGCTCGTACGGATTTTACGTGTCATTGGTTTGATCGATAAGTTACTGCTCTCTACTTGGCGTTATCGTTATGTTATATATTAGCAGGACACATATGCCACAAGTTACAACAGTAGGTGAGAAGTTGATTAACGAATAAATCTAAGATTGATCAACATTTGTTCTCATGTGAATGACACATATAAAGCTCGATTCCTTTTCAGAACTTGCTTAATTAAAAAGATGGAAACAACAGCGAAAAAGATGTCTGATACTTTTGGGTCTCTAACACCATATCACATTCAGCAAGGTTACTTTCAGGCTAAATAAATGAGGTACCATGTTTCCTTAGTTAACTAATTACGGAATATCTCAGAAATATATGACTCATGGATACAGAAACTGTTGAATTTTCTCTTATTAAGAGGAGTATTTATTAAGTGCTTTCTAATTTTCACGGGTATACGAATATACGATTGTTTTGTCGAGTGATTTATTAAGTTTGGAGATAGCTTCTGGTGTAAAATAACACCAGTCCCATACTGGGACGAAACGGCCGTCCAGTGCTTCCAGGTTTCTAATGGTGGTCTAACATTAATCAGTTCATGATCTCAATTATGTGATTATACTTTGAGTTAGAAAATCAATCCAAACAAGTTTATCTAACAGATGGAAGGATATATGTGTGTCAGCGTAAACACAACTATGAGCTATCCTACTTTTGGTACCATATACTTAGCATTTAATCTAATTAGTTCACGCTCTGTACTGCATTCAAAAGTGCATGAAGTCAGTGAATTGAACTGAGCTATGATAGTAGGTATAAACTATCTGGTTAGGGTCCACATGATTATCGCAACGAATGGTTAGGGATATTGGGTGATATAGCTCAAAATCTACTGCAATGGCGTAGACGCATTCACCCTTTGTCTTCCTTTAGAACATTTAAAAATTATTCATAAAAAAGCTGCGTATAACCAGCCTCAAGCAGTCATCTGTCGGTTACTGCAATAATATCCCCAGGAAGTCAAGATCAAGACCGATTTCTTTTTCAGCTGCCACAAAAAGCATCATTTTATAGTGCCAACAAAACGGAAAGTAACTACCATCTCATATATCACTATCAGCCCTTAAGATCCCTTTATTCAATCTAAATATTCTAGTGGATCTTGAATTTCAAAATCACCTTAAAATATTGGTTTCCCGAATTCAATATTCTGTAATCATATTGTCTGTACGTAGTCTTTTCTGTTACAATTGATTGGAGACTCTTGGTGACATGGCTCAGAATCGATCACAATGGCGTCGGTGTATACACTCTCTGTCTTCCTTTAAACTAAGAGATTAAAATCACTTCAAATCTTTATTTCTAGGAACTAATTCTACCTTCCTGTACTATCTCTTTATACACACTCTTTCTTCTATATATTACCACCACTGAATTAACCACTATGAATCCGGTGTTCATCTCGTTGTGCTAATGCGGTATGGCAACTTGGACCGATGCATATACGTGCCTGGTCCTACTGCAGCTGACTGACTGACTGACTGACTGACAATTGATATTGTTCCAGATTCTCCTATTATGAGATCTGTCTTTATAATTCGATCTTGTTGTGTTGATATAATTGAGCAACTTGAACCGATGTAAACATAATCCAAGTTCTATATTACTTATAACTAACTAACCAACTTATTGAGTATATGTTTCAGATCAGTAATCAGGCTAGTTGCAAATCGTATGATTTATTAAAGTGAAGATGATTTTATAGTCCTTTTTATTTTACAAAAAAAGGATTCACCAATATTACTTAAACAAAGATCTTTACATATTAGTTCAATTGGTCAGTCAGCTACAACGTAAGATTAGGCGCATATATGCATCGGTCCAAATGTCATACCTCATTAGCACAACAAGATGAACACCAAATTCATAAAAGTAATTAATTCAATGATGGTAATATATAAATGAAAGATTGTGTATAAGGATATAGTACAGGTAAAAAGAATTAGTTCATAGAAAGAAAGATATAAAGCAATTTTCATTTCATAGTTTAAGTGACGACAAACAGTGTATACAGCTACGCCATTGTGATCGATTCTGAGCCATATATTACCCATAGACTCCAAGCATTAGTTACGATAGTCACGTGGACCCCAATTAAGTAGTCTGTATCTAACAACATGGCTCACACTAGAACTTATTGACTTCAAGCAATGATGTCACGTTTTGGTTTGGCTGACCCTAACTTTCTTCCAATTATCCCCTACACTAGTCAGCATTGAGCGTCGTGGTAATCGGTGATAAAGCATACGTAACACGTGGCCCAACCATCTCAGTTGATGAAGATTCACAACGTCATCAACTGATTGACCATCATTCTCTAATACCCTGCTTCTAACCTCACTATTACTTTCCCGATGATCACAGCAGATGTGAGCAATATTTGTAAGATCTCTGTAGTCAAATACTAGTAGCTTGCGAATATCTTCTACTCTTAAAACAAAACAAACTGCCGCCGTGTACACTCGACCCTTAATTGATAAACGAATATCTCGCCTTTGCCAAATGAGCTTTGGTGTGTGTGTGTGTGTGTGTAAGACAGAAAGAGGGTGAACTAACACCCTACACTTTTATTAAAATCACTAAAA